TATAAATAATAATATAAATAATAATATAAATATAAATAATAATATAAATAATAATATAAATAATAATATAGATAATAATATAAATAATAATAATAATATAAATAATAATAATAATATAAATAATAATATAAATAATAATATAAATAATAATATAGATAATAATATAAATAATAATAATAATAAACATTTTAGTTATTATTCTCTTAGTCATCGATTCTATTCACAACACTCGTAAGTTATTTGCTGCTGCTGTTGCTGCTCTCTGCTGCTGTTGCTGCTCTCTGCTGCTGTTGCTGCTGTTGCTGCAGCAACCAAATACTGCAATGGATTCTTATGCATTATCAAGACTCAAATCAGCAAAGTTGAGGTCTGCATGCATCGTAAGGCCTCCAGAGGAAGCCCCAGCAGCAGCAACAGCAGCAACAGCAGCAGCAGCAACAGCAGCAAGCTCATTCGCTGCTTGTACAGGCAAAGGAGGCCAGCGTGGTTCCTCCAAACAGCACACTCACAACATATTAAAGACTCACTCTGTTGCTGCTGCTGCTGCTGCTGCTGCTGCAGCAGCAGCAGCAGCAAGAGATTCACAGGTGCTACTACTGCTGCAGCAAGACATCCACAGGTGCTGCTACTGCTGCAGCAACACACCAACGTCTGTTGCTGCAGTAGCAGCAGCAACATACCGACACACACACTACTCTTACACGCACACACAAACACTACTACTACTACTGCTGCTGCTGCTGCTGCTGCTGCAGCAACACACTCACAGCCATGGCTTTTTCCTTTGCAGCAGCAGCAGCAGCAGTAGCAGTGCCCAGCGGAGGTCAGTGAGTCTGCAACAGAGTTGTCTGCATGCACCCTAATGGGGCTTTTTATTGTGTCGTTTGCATGCATCTTTGGGGTTGTTGCTGCCTTTTGCTGCAACTGCAGCAGCAGCTGCAGCAGTTGCCGCTTTTGCTGCTGCTGCTGCTGCTGCTAAGAATAATTAGGAGTTTGCTATGAGCAGCAACAACAACCCCACCGTCTCCCGTCAGCAGGTGTCGGTCGTAGCAGCATTTTCTAGTTGCAGTTGCTGCTGCTGCTGCAGTTGCTGCTGTAGCAACTGCAGCAGCAGCAGCAGCTTCTGCTGCTGCGACTTGTCGTATGAGGCAGCAACAACGCTATCTATCCGTTTATAAAGTAATTATTTATTTATTTATTTATTTATTTATTTATTTATTTATTGTTAATATCCTGTATACCCTTTATTATGCTAGTAATGATAGTAGTAATAGTACTAATATAGTATAATAATTAGTAATAATATACTAATAATAATAATAATAATAATAATAATAATAATAATAATAATAATAATAATAATAATAGTAATAATAATAATATAATTAGTAATAATAATAATAATAATAATAATAATAGTATGCGTGTGCTAAGGAAGAAGGAAGAGAAGAAAGTAGTTATTGCCTGTTGTGTTGTTTCTTTTGTTTGTTATTAATTAACAAATGTATAATTAATTAATTAATTTATTTATTTATTTATTTAATTAATTTATTTATTTAATTAATTAATTTAATTTAATTAATTAAAGGAATTAACAAGAACAAATAGCACCGAGACGCCTGTCCTGCTGCTGCTGCTGCTGCAGCTGCTGCTGCGGCTGTGTCGATGGAGCACCACAAGGAGCAGCAGCAACAGCAGCAAAAGCTGCTGCTGCTGCTGCTGTTGCAGCAGCAAAATAATTTATTATGAATAAAAAAATATGATACAATAATAGAAAAGTATCTGTGTTGCTGCTGCAGTTGCTGCTGCTGCTGCAGTAGCTGCAGCAGCAGCTACTGCACATGTGACCACCGGCGCAGCAGCAGCAGCAGCATGGCTTCTCCCGTCGCAGCAAGGGTTGCTGCTGTGTGCCATAAGAGGGGACAATAAAAGAATAAAATAAATAAATAAATAAATAAAATAAATAAAATAAATAAAAATAAATAAAATAAATAAATTAATCTCTTTTTTCTTTTCCTTTTCTTCTCTGCTGCATCGATGTGCAACAACATATGCAGCAGCAACAGCAGCAGCAGACTGTCCATTGTCGTTGCTGCTACTGCTGCCGCTGCTGCTGTTGCTGCTGCTGCTGCTGCTGCTGCTGCTGCACTTAGCGGCTGCTTTCTTTGTTGAAACGGAAGCAAAACTTGTTTTAAAGGAATTTAAATCTTAATACTTTCTTCTTTATGCAGCAGCAGCAGCAGCAGCAGCAGCAGCAGCAGCAACTCGTTGCTTGAGTCTTGCAAGACTATACAGGTGCCTCGTCGTGTCTTGCTGCTGTGGGGTTCTTGCAGCAGCACCAGCAGCAGCAGCAGCACGTACACTCGTTAAGACTGCAACAAGAGCAGCAATAAAAGGAGCAGCAACAACAGGAGAAAAAAACACCAACGTATAAAGGGCAAACATCCCTATCTGCTGCAGCTGTCAGCAACAACTGCAGCAGCAGCGGCATCAGCAGCAGCAAACAGCAGCAGCAGCACATACGTCGCTTTCTTTTCTTGATTTATTCTCTTCCTTATTAAGTTGTATAAAGTTAGCAGCAGCAAGAAGGCCTTCGTGGCTGATTATAAGAAATATTTTTGTGTTGTGTAGCAGCTGATTTAGCAGCAAAAGCTGTAGCAGCAGCAGCAGCAACAGCAACAGCAGCAGCAGCAGCAGCAGCAACAGCAGCAGCAGCAACAGCAGCAGCAACACCGGCTTGGTATACTCGTTACTATTCAATGAATTCATATTCATAATAAAAATATTTTTCCCTATACCCGTCGTTACTGTTGATACAGTGTCTCCTGCACAGTGTTCGTGCTGCTGCTGCTGCTGCTATTGCTGCTGCCGCTGCTGCTGCACTTCCTGCTGCTGTCGCTCTCGTTGCTGCTGCTGCTGCTGCAGCGACGAGCCGCTTCAGTGACACAGATCGGTCTTCGTTACTTTGCTTCTTACCTAAGTTGGCGGTTTGCGTATAATAGGCGGCGCCACCCCTGTAGTGGCAGCAGCAGCAGCAGCAGCAGCAGCAGCAGGAACAGCAGCAGCAACAACAGCAGCAACAGCAAAAAAAAAAAGACGCAGCAACAGCAGCAGCAACAGCAGCAACAGCAACGGAGAATGTCCAGACACAATCAGCAGAGACAATGTGGGCAACGTCGCAGCGACGGACAGCAATGTACGCCTTAGGGAAGGTGCAGCAGGCAACAACAACAGCAGCAGAAGCAGCAGCAGCAATTACTTCTAGCAGAAGCAGCAGCAGCAGCAACAAGGAGAAGCAGCAGCAGCAGCAGCAGCAGCAGTAGTAGTAGTAGTAGTAGTAGTAGTAGTAATAGTCTAAGGCGTGACCCCACACAATGGAGCAACGTGCTGTATCTGGTGTGCCCGCCTTCGGGACGCAGCAGCAGCAGCAGCAGCAGCAGCAGCAGCTGCAACAGCAGCAGCTGCAACAACAGCAGCTGCAACAGCAACTTCAGCAGCAACTGCAACAGCAGCAGCAGCAGCCGCAGGAGGACGAGCTGCTGCTGCTGCTGCTAGCATCTGCTGATGGCCTTGCTGACATGGGATCGGCTCCCTGCTTGTTTCTTGGACAAAGAGGACCAGAAGAAGCAGCAGCAGCAGCAGCAGCACTTGCTGCTGCATTGCAACAACGTGTGGATAGCCACATAGGGCAGCAGCTGCTGCAGCAAAGACAGCAGCAGCGGCAGCAAAGTTGCAAGGTGCGTAGGCCGTCTCTCTCTTGGCTACGGGGTATACATACGTCTCCTTTTGTTGCTGCTGCTGCGCTGCGGCAGCTGTGGGGTATAAGCAACAAAGCAGCAGAAGCAACAAGGGTGCTGCTGTCCGAAGGATCGTCTCCCGATGCACAGCAGCAGCAGCAGCAGCAGCAACAGCAGCAACAGCAGCAGCAGCAGCAGCAGCGGGGACTTGAGCTGCTCGCAGGTACGCTGTCTAGTGGCTCCTTCCTCTTTGCTGTGCAGACACTCCGCCGCTGCTTCCTCCTCCCCACACCTGCTCATTGCTTACCAAGCAGCAGCAGCAGCAACAACAGCAGCAACAGCAGCAACAGCAACAACAGCAGCAACGGCTGTTGCTTCTGCAGCACGACGGGTTCGGACTTTGGCGGTGCTGCAGTGACGTGCGCAGCAGCAGCAGCGGTGGTGATGCTTCGAGAGGCAGCAGCAGCAGCAGCAGCGGCAGCAGCAGCAGCAGGTGCTGTTGCAGGGAAAGGCGACCTGGTGCTGCAACAGCAGCAAAATACCTGGTATATGCGGGAGCAGCTGCTGCTGCCAGCAAACAGGTTCCTGCTGCTGCTGCTGCTTGCGGTGTCTGTACCTGGGCTGGATATACACCCGAGCCTACGGCCCCTTAAGGACGAGGTATCCAAGACAGCATGCATGCTGCTGGTGCTGTATAATGACAGAGACAGCAGCAGCAGCAGCAGCAGCAGCACCAGCAGCACCAGCAGCCGCTGCCCCACCTGGTGGCTGCCGCACTGCGCTGCAGCAGCTGCTGCTGTCCTTGATCCCACCTTTTGTGCAGCAGCAGCAGCAGCACAAGCAAGTCGCTACAACTTGCTGCTGCTGCCTTGTGGGGAACGGTGTGCTGCTGCTTCTCTTTCGCGTAGCTGCAGCAGCTTCCCGCTGGCGACGTTGCAGGAAGCAGCAGCTGCAGCAGCAGATGAGACAGCAGCAGCAGCAACAGCAAGAACCATATGGGCCAAAGCTGCAGGCAAGGCAGCCCTGGAGGTGCTATCTGCATGCGCATGGATAGTGCTGCAGCAGCAAGGGCCTGCAGGGCAGCAGCTGCAGCGGGAGAAGCCAGCAGAGCTGCTGCTGCGGTCGCAGCAGCAAAGCGGAGACAGTCTCTACCGACTCCTAAGAGCAGCAGCAGATCCAACGGTGCTGCTGCTGCTGCTGGAGGCAGCTAGCCGTTTTATTGCTGCTGCTGCAGCTGCTATGGGACCAGAACCGCTGCAGCAAACAGGCGTGCTGCAGCAGCAGCGGCAGCAGCAGCAGCAAATGCATGCATCTACTGCTAGAGCCAAGACTAACGAATTACTAGCAGCAGCACCACAGCTACATGAAGTGCTGCGGTGTATAGGCAGCTGGTTAGCTGCAGCAGCAGGAGATTTGCTGCTGCTGCCTGCGCTGCCATTCCTCAGCACGTGTTTGCTGCCTTCTGTGCTGCAGCTGCTGCGGACTTGCTGCTTCTTGGAGAGCCTCTGTGGGGGTCCCCAAACAGCAGCAACGAGTGCAGCAGTAGCTGCTGCTGCTGCAGCAGTAGAGCCACTAGAGGACTCTCCCGACCTAGCAGCAGCAAAGGAAGCAGCAGCAAATGTTGCAGAAGCAGCAGCAGATGCATTCATTGGGGGAGTGTCTCTGTTTGCGGTACGCAACTTGCCCGCAGAGAAGAATAGCAGCAGCAGCAACAGCAGCAACAGCAACAGCAGCAACATCAACAGCAGCAACAGCAGCAGCAGCAACAGCAGGAGGCAGAGATGTGCCTCCCGACAGCAGCAAAAGGGGATGTTGTTCCCACAGCAACAGGACATGGGCAGGTGGCTGCACGTGTCCGCTGCAGTGCAGCAGCAGCAGCAACAACAGCAGCAGCAGGAGCAGCGCCACAGTTTGTGCGTATTAGAGCGTCTGCTGCTTTTTTCCCACATTTGCTCAGGGATGCCTGCTGATTTAGCATGCAGCAGCAGCGAGGAGTCTGCAGCAGTAGCAGCAGCAGCAGCAGCAACAGGAACTGCAGCAGGAGCAGCAACAGCGCATGCATCACGGGTCATGGGGTGTATGGCCTCCATCTTTGCTGTTGAGATCTGCACAGTGTTGGCCTTAGTGGAGGCAGAAGCAGCAGGAGCAGCAGCAGCAGAAGCAGAAGCAACAGCAGAAGCAGAAGCAGAGGCACCAGCAGCACCAGGACCATCGGCAACATCAGCAGCAGCAGCAGCAGCAGCAGCAGGGGGAGCAGCAGCAGGACCAGCAGCAGGACAAGCAGCGGCCGGACTGTCTCCCTCTGTATTCTTTCGCATTTGTTATGCCATGTGCAGCGACGCATTGATGCCTTTCCCACAGGCAGCAGCAGCAGCAGCAGCAGCAGCAGCAAAATATCCTCAGGAAGGTGGACCCTTCCTGCAGCAGCAGCAGCAGCAGCAGCAACAGCAACAGCAACAACAACAGCAGCAGCACCACCAGCAGCGGTCCCCGAGTCTGTGCGTCCGACTACAGCACAACCATACTCTATTGGATGAGCGCGTGGTGCAGCAGCAGCAGCAGCTAGGTGCTCTTGCTGCAGTAAGCAGCGGCCATGAGGCAGCAGTTTGTGCTGCACTAAGAAGAGGCTCGCTGCTGCTGCAGCAATGGCTTTGCTGCAGCAGCTGGGGATCAAGAAGAAGCTACTGGCCTGCTGTTGAGGCAGCGCAGCAGATGGCTGCTGCAGTAAAGACACTGCAGCAGACGCTGCAGCTGCGTCAGGCAGCAAATGAAGCAACAGCAGCAGCAGCAGCATTACATACTAGCACACAGCAGCAACAGCAGCAGCAGCAGCAGCAACAGCAGGAGCTAGCTACTATAGAGGCAGCACTTGTACGCAGCGCAGGGGGATGGATGCGGCGAGTTACTTGTCGTCTTGTTGAGGTCTCGGCATTCCCCTCAGGCTTTAACAGCAGCAGCAGCAGCACAGGAGGCAGCAGCAGCAACTGCAGCAGCAGCAAGGAAGAGACAGAAGCTTTCTTTAACCTTAGGTCCGATATACGGGGAGCCTTACGGTAAGTTCCTGCTGCATACTTGAATTTGCTGCTGCTGCTGCTGCTGCTGCTGCTGCTGAATGTTTCTGTTGCTTCCTTGTTGGCTCCCGCTGCTGTTTGCTGCTGCTGTTTTGTTGCTTATTGGTTACCCCTTGCTGCTACTCTATTGTGTCAGTCCCTTCCCAGCTGTTGCTGCCTGAGTCTGCACCGCTGCTGCTGCTACTACTTCCGTTGCTGCTACTGCTGCTGCTGCTGCTGCTTCTGCTGCTGCAGCAACCTGTTTTCTCCCGAGGGCCAGATGGTATATCGGTTGCATGACGGCCTCCTACCGGACTTGACCAACAGAGCCTTATCCTTGCTGAGGAACTGGTCAGCAGAGCAGCAGCAGCAGCAGCAGCAGCAGAAGCAGAAGCTGCAGCCATGGGCAGCATTTGAGTCCATCCTGCATGCTGTTGCTGCAGTTGCGCATGCAGCAGACTGGAGGTGCAGCAGGGCACTACAGCAGCTGCTGCTGGCTTTGCTGTCTCCTGCTGCTTTTGTACCTCCTCCAGGAGGAGGGGCAGTTGCCGCTGATGCAGCAGCAGCAGCAACAGCAGCAGCAGGAGCAGCAACAGCAGCAGGAGGAGGGAGGGCTCCTTGGGTGTTACAGTCTCACCGTTTGCTGCTGAGCTCCGTGCTGCAGCTATTAGGTGCCCTTGATTGGTGGCTGCTGCAGCAGCCGCAGCTTCTTCCTGCTGTGCTGCTGCTGCTGCAGCAATCCGTGCTGCTGCCGCAGTGGGCAGGAGAAGGTTTATCTTTATCTACTAAGGAAGATCATTTAGGTTGTGTCTCCTTACTCAAGCTTTGTGCTGCAGCAGAGGCAGCAGGAGTTTGCTGCTGCATGCAGCAGCCAGACAGCCCCATATCTACACAGAACTTCTGTGTCTTTGCCTTACAGCTTGTTGAGGCTGTTGCTGCTATCCCTGCAAACAGCAGCAACAGCAGCAGCAACAACTGCAGCAGCGGCACAGGGGGCAGCACTAACGAAGACAGCGAATGGGTAGCAGCAGAGAAGCAACTCTGCATGCAAAGCAGACACTGCGTTGTTGCTGTTGCAGGCAGATTGCTGGCTGTCTCTTGCCGTATACATGCGGTGCAGCAGATGCAGCAGATTATGCACCGGCAGCAGCAGCAGCAGCAACAACAACAGCAGCAGCAGCAGCAGGACCCATACATTATTGCGGGCCTGGTTCTAAGACGACATATGCAAATCCTTGGAGGCCTAATAAGGCAGCTGCTGCAGCTTAAACCCCCAACAGCAGCAACAGCAGCAACAGCAGCAGCAGCAGCAGCAGCACGGCGGGAGAGGCTGATCGTAGCTACATGCACATTTGTGCTGCAGTCTCTGGAGGCGTTTCTTGCTGCCAGCATACAGCCACTCTTGGAGCAGAGCACAGCAGCAGCAACAGCAGCAGCAGCAGCAGGCCGTCTGCCTCTAGGATTCGTTTGCTGCAGCAGGGGTTCTGTGCAGTCGAGACCTGCTAGCAGCAGCTGCAGGCAGCAGCAGCAGCAGCAGCAGCAGCGACACTGCCCCCTTGTATTCTCTTCTGCACTGAAGCGATTGGGCTTCTATAGTGTGCGGCAGCGTGCTGCTCGGAGACGGCAGCAGCAGCAACAGCAGCAGCAGCAGCAGCAGTACGACCAACAGCTGCTGAATGAACAGGAGCTGCAGCACGAACAGCAGCTGCAGCAGCAGGAGCAGCTGCACCAGCAGCTGCTCCTCTTCGGGAGAGGAGGCAGCGAAGACTGTCTCCTTGGGGGGGCCTCCTCTGCTGCAGCAACAAATGCAGCAGCAGCATCTGCTGCTGCTGCCCATGGGGCCTCTCATGGCCTAATGCGGCTGCTTGTGCTGCATATAAATGAACAGGCGCAGACACTGCAGCTGCTGGCAGCAGCAGCAGCAGCACTTGCTGCGGGCAAACATTGGCATGATCTGCAGGTTTGCTGCTGCACTAATGCTGCTGCTGCTGTGTGCTGCTGCTGTTTGCTGCCGCTGTTGCTTATTCTGCTTTCCATTGCTGCTGCTGCTGCAGCTGATCGCTGTTTCTGCTGGAACCCTGTGTCTTGCTGCTGCAGCTGCTGCTGTCTGCGCATTGCTGCTGCTGCTACTCGTGCTGCTGCTGGTGCTCCAACCTCTACTGCTGCTACCCTTGCTGTTGCTGCTGCTGCTGCAGGCTGGCAGCCTCATTGCAGCACTCTCTTCCTTTTTTTCCTTTTCTCTACACGCCAGTCTTCGCCTTGGAGGGGACACGTTTGCTGCTGCTGCTGCAGCAAGAGACCTGCTGTACGAGGTACTTGCGCTGCTGCCGCAGTGCCCTGATGTTAGCAGCAGCGGAAGCAGCAGCAGCAGCAGCAGCAGCAGCATCATCAACAACAACAGCTGAGCAGCAAGGCGGACTGCCGTTTGCCTCTTGAGCACTTGTGGCACCACCGCCGCTTTTTTGATAACAGGTAGCAGCAGCAGCAGCAGCAGCACCAGCAGCAGCAGCAGCAGCAACAGCTGTGCAGCAGCAGTTTCTTCCCTGACTGGAGGAGCCCTTAGCTCTGTGCCTCGTGTGAGAGATGTGAGGTACTGCTACTGCGCTTGGGAAGCAGCAGCAAAGCAGCAGCAGCAGCAGCAGCAGCAGCAGCAGCAGGGGTAGCTGCTGTGGGCTGAACCAAGGGGAGCACAGCTATGCCTTTTTTACAGTTGCGCGGCGTCTTGTGTAACAGCGGCAGCAGCAGCGGCAGCAGCAGCGGCAGCAGGAGCAGCAGCAGGAGTCGCAGCAGGATGAAGAGCCGCAGCCGCAGCAGAAACGGCAGCAGCAGCAGCAGCAACAGTGCATGCATTGGATTATTTTGTTGGTTTTGCTGCTGCAAGGGAGCGGAGGCCGCCGTAGCAGCAGGAGGCAGAGTGTGGGGTGCATGCATGCATGCAGCATGCATGCATGCATGCATGCATGCAGCAGAGCATTGAGGTGTCTCCTGACCTTATTCAGGTGTCTCCTCACCTCCTTCTTCCCCCCCGCTCTCCTTAAAGTGTCTCCTTTTGCCTCCTTCGGGTGTATAGGCACCTCTACCAAGTGTCTCCTTACCTCCCTTAGGTGTCTCCTTTTGTCTCCTTCCTTCAGGTGTCTCCTCTTGTCTCCTTCCTTAGGGTGTCTCTTTCTCCCTTCTTCCTCCAGGTGTCTCTTTTTTTTGTTGTTATTTCTTCCTATTATAGTGCTGTCTCCTTTTATTTATTATAATAGGCAAGAGTGTCTCTTTTTTTTTTCTTTTTTTTTTCTTTTCTTTTTTTTTTTTTTTTTTTTTTTTTTTTTTTTTTTTTTTTT